ACATATAGTTAAACAATTTAGGTATATATTAAAAAGTATATATATAAATGTATATGTATATATATTTATGTGTGTAAAAGTACATTTATTAAAGTATGTAAGTAAAAAATATATATAAATTTTGTGTGTATGTATATTAAAACTATATAGATATGTGGGAAAGTGTGTATATATAAACAAGAATATCAGTATAAAAGTATAAAGTATATAAATTAAAGTACATATATATAAGTGGATATATTCATTTATATATACACTTTATATTTTTAATATATAAGTATATAGGTATCACTATTTATATTAGTATATATTCATGTATACATACAATATTTATATACTTATATATATGAAATAATATAAATAAACACATATACATATAATAAAAGCATATATCTATATTAGTATATATATTAGTGTATTTATACCATACTTATTGAGTAATAAACTATATATTTGAATATTTCAAACCCATTTAAGCTGTAACCAGGAAGCACAACCCAGTAAGGAAATTTTAATTGCTTTAATAGACATAGAAATACAGAATTACATCATATTTCACAGTAAAAGGATTCTACACCTCTTGTATCTCTGGGGGTTTGGCATCTCAGATAATTCGTCAGAATTAATGTGGCTTTGGTGGTGGTGGCACTTCTGTTCCCCACTGAAAGTAGCACTAAAAAGAATTTAAAATGAAGTTTATTTTAAGCAAAGGCTTCCTTCCATGTAAACTGATTTGCATTTTCCCCTTTTTCAAGTATCTTGGTGACAGTTGTATTTTATCACCTTTTAAACACTTTTTTCCTTAATAAAGTCATGGTTTTCCCACAATTCTTTGCCTGAGATTATAAATCCTCACTGTCCCCCCACATCAATTTATTTTTAGCCCTACCAAAAAAAAAAAAAAAAGAAAAAAAAAAGCAAATGTAATTTCAGCAAATAAATGTGTCCAGAGACAATGGCAATGGCAAACGGATCCATCTTCATTTTTCTGAAGAAAATGGCACAAAACCCAGTTAAAATGCAATTTAATTGGGTGGCTGGGAAGTGGAGTCCATCACCAGCCAGGAATTATTAATATTGAGACTGGAAAAAAGAGAAACTGCTAAATTCCCACTAAATTTAAAAAGGAAAACCACAAAAAAACCATCAAAATAATTACAAAAGCAGCCTTTGACATGCATTTATTTAAGTTAAACTCCAAAATATGAAAAAAACTGCTCTAATAAAACAGAATGTTAGTGGCACACAGCACACAACCTTCCTCAAATGTTAAATTTCTTCCCTGCAGCTTTTCTGACACAGCAATAAGTAGGAAATGAGATCAGCTCTAAAAACCCAACTTTCATTTGCTGAGTTGCTGTTCCCCCTCTGGTTTGTCCCAAAACTTCCAGTGGCATTCCCAGACACCCTCCAGCTGCCAAGCCAGCAAAACTGGAGAATAAAATAATATCTAAAACTGAAACAAGAAGCTTTTCTATTCATTTCCACTTTTTTTCTTTTTTTTTTTTCCTCAAAACCCTGAAAAATCAAAAAAAAAAAATCTCAAGCAGGGATAAAGGAAAAGAGAGAAAACCCAAATATTTCCAGAGTTGTGGAAGCAGAGCACTGAAGCACAAACTCTGATTTTAGTGGTGGGAGGAGACAGCAGAATTCCACACTCCTTTGGATTGGATGGACAGAGGGAAAGAGAGGAAATCCAGACTCAAATCCACAAAAACAGTTCAGGCAGAAATTATTTCTGCTGGCTCGAGAACAGGTTACAGAAAAAAAAAAAAAAAAAAAAAAAAAAAAAAAAAAAAAAAAACAAAAAAGGATTTAAAGCCAAAATGTAGCATTTGTCTTTGTTTCTATCCAGCAGAAACTGTGCTCCCAAAAATAATAAATAATTAGAAGTAGCAGGAGTTACATCCTCCTCTGAAAATTACATTCAAAATGCCACAATGGCCATGCAGAGAGTGGTTTCTGCAGGAGTTGTTGGGAAAAGGGGATGAGAGCTGCCAAATTTTCCAGCCCTGAAAACCCTGGGGAAATTGAATCTCCTGGAAAAGCAGGACCAAGGCAGCACATGAGGAATAAATCCAATTTGTGGCTCTTGTCTGGGCAGTTTTTGGACACTCCCTGAAGGCCTGAAAGGGCTCAGCACTGCCTGAGCAGCAGGAAAAAACAATCAAAATATTGATTTAAGCTACAAATATTGGTGAGGGCTTCTTAAAGTCATCCAGAGTGAAGATGCTCACCCAAAAACTGGGCACAGCAGTGGGAATCCCTATGACTAATTATGTTTTTAATAGGGAATAGCAGTGATTTTAGCAACCTGCAGTAGAATATATTTATATATCTATATATGTTATATATATTTATATAATATATATAATATATATGTATGTATAGATATAATAGAAAATATATAGGACATATAGTAGAATATATAGAATTTAGTAGAATATATATGTCTATATATAAAAAATATATTTATATTTATATTTATAGGTGTATTTATATTTATATAAACTAGAGGAGACTGAAGTATAAGCAGTGATTTTTCTGGACTCCTCACCACACCAAGACAACTTTTTTCTTGGCATTTTACTATGACAGGGAAGGTAAAAAAATGTAACAATGAAGAAAAGCACTGCTCCTAAATTTTTTTTTTTTAATTAAATTAAAGGCACAAGAGGAAAACTTTTTCCTGACCTGAGCCATTTCATGTATTCCCCTCTGCAATCTCTGGCAGTAACTCCTGTCTTATCCCACTGGGATTTCAGGTTATTCCAAGTGTTTACTCCACTCTCTTCCATCAGAAAGCATCACTGAGGCAGAGGAAGGGGAAACTGAGGCAGCAAGGGGGGACCCACAGAAAAAGGGGATTCAGGAAGGGCCCCACATTTTCCAGCTGTTGGATTGAGGCTGGAATCTTAGCAGGTCAACTGAGAGCCCTCCTTGGGCTCCGTGTTGGTGCTCAGTCCAAGGTCTTTGAGACTAAACTATCCAATTAAGAACTGACACCTAGATTATTTTCCCTTTAACCCCATAACTGATCTCAAAGAGCCCCAGTGTGGACTTTTCTGCCCAAGTACAAAATGCCACCCAAACCCATGAAGAAGAAACCCAGGACAGCATCCTGTGTCATCCATCTTGCTTCCATCCACAACACACTAAAAGCTCAAAACCTAAATTTCTCACCAAGTGACACACCTACACTGCTCTCTATAATCTATTTCACATTTTTGTGCATTCTGGTCTATCTTCTCCATGAATGAGGGTCAGAGTCAGTGCTGTCCTGGGGTTCAGGGCACCCCAGAGCCCTGACCCAGGCCAGGAGCCATTGGCCTCCTTGGCCACCAGGGCACTCTCTGGCTCGTGTCCAGCTGCTGTCCCTCAGGTCCCTTTCTGCCTGGGCACTGCCAGCCACACCGTCCCCAGCCCAGAGCACTGCAGGGTTATTGTGGCCAAAATGCAGGACTGGGCACTTGGATTTATTAAACTTCATCTTACTGGACTCTACCCATCCATCCAACTGTTCCAGGTCTCCCTGCAGAGTCCTTCTCCCTTCCAGTTTCCTCACTGGAAAGATCAAACACTGAACAGGCTTGCCAAGGGAAGTGGAGTCACCATCCCTGAAAGTGGCCATAAAATGGGTGGATGTGGCACCTGGGGACGTGGATTAGTGGTGGATTTGGAAGTGCTGTTAATGACTGGAGTTGATCATCCAAGAAGTCTTTTCCAGCCTGAATAATTCCATGGCTCTCAGAGAGGCAAAATCCCTGCAAAATCAACTCTTGCACCCTCCAGCCCCAAATAATTCACCTGGCTCCAATCATTAAAGGTGGAGAAGGCTGTGAGGGAAAATAAAAAAAGGATAACATGGATTGGGGCTGCTCCCCTCCATTTCTACCTCATTTTTTTTTATTTTCCAGAAGCCATCAAACACCTCTTGACCCCAGCACGACCTTCTCATGTGTCACCTTGTGTCACCTGCAGCTGCTGGCAGCAACAAAAGCCTTTCAAACGCTGTGAAAGAGACAAAAGAAATGTGTGCCCGAGGCAGAAAAGATGCAGGGCTTCCCCAAACAGAGGAGTTTATTCAGTGTTTGTTCAGGCTCTGCTCACTCCAGGACAATAAAACCATTCTGAGCAGCCTTTGCACAATGAGGGGCACAGGAAAAGCTGCTTCAGGCCGAGATGGGCAGCACAGCCTCATCTTTGTGGCCTCTGAAGGGTCCAATTTCATTTATTTTCCCAGCAGAAAGACTCTGATACCAATCCCACACCTGACCAACAGTCTAAGGCATGGTTCTGGTCAGCAAGCAACCTGAAAGTGCATTTATTCTGTTTTATGTCTTCACACCAAGCAAAAAAAAAGCATCTTCTCTTTCAGATGGGTCCCATTTAAATCAGAGGTAATAATTAATGAGGTACTCCACAGCATCATTTCACAGCAACCATAGAGCTTTAATCAATATAAGCATTTTTTTACAGACAAATTCCTTTCACAGTAACACTGAAACAGAGCCAGAATGTGATTTTGGACGGGTTTTGTCAAAAATATTCATGCAAAGGCTTTTTTTCTTTTTTTGTTTTGGACAAAATAGGATCTCACCTGGGCATCTCTCTCATTGTCTCATGGATTAATTACAATACAAAAATAAAAAAGGGTTCCTATAAATCACTGCAGGCTGACAGGGTCAGGAGGCACAGAGTTGGTTGGCTTTGGAATAAGAGAGGAATATGTTGCAGCAAGAAGAAAAATGGGAAAAGCAGAGGTGTGTTGGCAGCCAGAAAAAATGAAGCAAAGAAATGCCAAGGCATTGGGCTGCTCTGAAAACCCAGGGGGTGGTGGATGGAGAAAACCCCAGCTTGCAGGTGGCAGCAGGGACAGTGTGAGGGGCACAGAAAGAGCCAGAACATGGTGAAAATCTTTCCTCAGCAAGGCCAGGCTAAGCCAGCACATGTGGCACTAAAAATACCAGTGTGAGGGGCACAGAAAGAGCCAGAACATGGTGAAAATCTTTCCTCAGCAAGGCCAGCATAGGTGGCACTAAAAATATCCTTTTCTTCTCCCAAAAAATGGTTTGAGTGAAAGGAGTCAGAGGAACTGGCCTGCTCCCTCCACTGGCACCAAGCAGGAGACAGGACAGGAGGTTTGAGACCTTTTTTTCCCAGCTGGGATGAGTTAAAATCAAGGTCTGACAGGTGAAGCACAAGATGTTCATCTTTTTGAACACAATTCCAGTGGTGGGAAGAAACACCAGCCCCATCAGCAAGTTGAAGAAGCTCAATGCAAGGAGCAATGTGCAGCAAAAAACTTCAGCCTGAGAATACATCTTAATAAGAGCAGCATGACCTCCATTAAAAAAAAAATAAACTAACAGAATTATAATACCTCAGAATGGTTATTCTGAACTGAAAAAATCAGTGCATGGAACAGGGAAACTCCTGATCCCATTGCTTGGGAGAGCACAGTCTGAGGGAGTGAGTGTCGACCTGGAGATCCATCCAAAGTCCAACCCAACAACACAGGGCACCCCCTAAATAGGGTCCAACCCAACAACTTTTTTAGGCACCCCTAAAAAAGTAGGGCTTACCCTCAGGAAAAGCTGCAATTCCCTGGATTTTTCTCCCCACGGCAGATCCACCCCAGTGATCTGCCACAGCTTTGGGTTCCCGCTGTTTATCCCAATTTGAGGAATCCTGCAAGACCCCTCCCCTGAAGAGCAGCATTCCCAAATCCCCAACCCAACCTCTCCCTAAGCTGCTCCCTCACCTACTTAGCAGCACCTTTGGGCCACCACTCGGGTGTGGTGGCTCTGAGCTCCACCCTGTCCCCTGCCAGGGGCACGCAGAGCGGCTCGTGGAGGTGAGCCAGCCTCAGCAGGGCTATGCCCAGCTCCCCTCCTCCAGCACGGAACTTCCCAGCACGTTTCCCTGCCTGGGTGAGGATCTCGGCACCCTCAGGAATGCCGGCACGGGGAAGGGGCCCCGGGAAGCTGACGGGCAGCAGGCGCTTGCGGATCACGCCCACGTGGTGCGTCCTGGCCGTCAGCTCCTGCCCGATGTAGCAGCCCTTGGTGAAGCTGATGCCGTTCATGAAGGCCAGGTTGGATTCCAGGGGGAGGGCCACTCCAGGGGGGAGATCTTTCACCCCTTCGGGGATTCCTAGGGAGAGAACAAAGGCAGCAGGGTGGTGCCTTGTGTGATCTGGCCTAGAGTGGAGGCTAGGCTGAGCTAGAATGGAAATAATAAAGAATAGAAAGAATAAAGCAGGGATTGATTCAAAGGATCTCCTCCATGGAGCCACCTTGGGCAGCACAAGAGCCCAGCCAGGGCTGCACCCAAGATGAACCCAAATGGTCCCAAAATGCTTGTTTTTCTCTTTCCAGCCCACGTGGTTTGTGCTCTTGGGCTGAGATTTGGATCATTTGTCCTGGGTGCCCAGCTGGAGAAGGAATTTTTTCTCCCTACCCTGTGAAGAGAGCTCACCATCCTCTAATATAAAGCAGCACAGAATCTGAAGATATAAAAGCTAAAAGCTGAGGCATCAAGGTAAACGCTGCTCCTCATTAGATTTGTGTAATCTGAATTATTTGGCTCATTCTCAGTTTGATTTTCCAACCCAAATTACTGGTTGTGATGCCTTGTGAAGGCTGACCTAGAACAGAGATTAAACAGAGCTAGAGAATAAAGCAGGGATTGATTCAAAGGATCTCCTCCATGGATCCACCTTGGGCAGCACAAGAGCCCAGCCAGGGCTGCACCCAAGATGAACCCAAATGGTCCCAAAATGCACGAGCGCTCACGGGGTCTCTCCCTGGGATCAGCTCTGCTCCATGTGCACATTGCAGTTCAGTGTCCAATTCCAGCTCAGCCCCTGCACTCCCATCCTGCTTGTTTTTCTCTCTCCAGCCCACGGGGTTTGTGCTCTTGGGCTGAGATTTGGATCATTTGTCCTTGGTGCCCAGCTGGAGCAGGAATTGTTTTGTCTCCCTGCTCTGTGCAGAGAGCTCACCATGCCCTGATGTGAAGCTCAGCCCCACACACTAAAGCAGCACAGAATGTGAAAATAGAAAAGCTAAACCTGAGGCATCAAGGTAAACACTGCTGCTCGTTAGATTTGTGCTCTGAGTTGTCTGGCTCGTTCTCAGTTTGATTTTCCAACCCAGAGGGATCCCAGTTTCAGCACAGAACCATCATCTTTCCCTCCTTCCCATCTTTCCCAATTAATTTAATCCTTTACCAGCATGGACACACTAAAATCAAAGGCACTGGGGCTCCCAGGACTGAGATCCCTGTCCACTCTCCTTGGCCTCAGAGTTAACTCAGCAAATCCAGCCACAAAGTTTTTAGGAAGCCAAGTCTGGGTGTTTCCTTTTCCTTCCTCAGCATCAAGCAAATGCCTGAGCTGTGTGTCATCTCAAAATAATCAAAATTACTCCAACCACAGAAGCTTCTCTCTAAGAAAATGAATAATCCTGGCTTTCTTCTAGCATTCCTGACCAATCCCCATAATCTGAGTAAGAGAAAATTATACCCAGACATTTCCACCAGACAGAATTATAACCACCAGCTCACTTCAATACACAAAACAGCAATTAATACATCTATTAATGAACAAATTAAATGTATTAAAACATGAGAATGAAGGGTTTATAACTTATTACTGCCTTAAATCAGCATGTGGACTCCCAAAAGCCATAGTGCAAAACAGGGCTTGGCTTTACCTTGTTTATACCTGTGCCTGTGGTAATCCTGAATGTCTCCAACTTGGCTCCCAGGGATAATCTCTGACACATTTGCTCCTTTCTTTGCAATCAGTCTCCAGCCCATGACTTCTGCCCTGGGGTCAGGGGTTAGGAGCAGAGCCTGGTCTGCACATTTTGGGAGGGAACCGGTGTCCCCAGGGAGGACAGCCCACAGGGAGAGGTCAGGGCAGGGGGCGATGGTGACTTTCCTGCGGATCTTGTAGACTTTCAGGTGTTGCTGGATGGAGTCCAGCACGCTGCTGTCACACTCCAGCAGGATGTGAGGCTCCTCTGCTGTGCTCCCGTGGAGCCTAAAAACGAAATATCACACCCCCAAGGTCAGGAAAACAAACACCCACAGCAGCGATAGCCAAAGCTGTGGGATTTTATTTGGATTTTTATTTGGGTCGTGGTGCAAATCCAGAATTCCACACAGGGATTTTTGGATTTGCAGAGAAACCCAGAGATTTCTGTTCCAAGTTTCTGGATGGCACAGAGGGAGCAGCACCCACATCCCGCAGTGAAATAAATACCTGAGCTGTTCCAGCCTCCCTAGCAAACACTGTCCTCACTTCTCCCAGGGGCAGAAACTCACCTGCCCACGTGGAATTCTCTATCCTGACCCACAGTGAAGGGAGTTTCAGCTGGCTTTGTTCAGCTGTGCCTTCCACTGTCACACAATCCCAGGATGGATTTGGGTTGGGAGTGACCTTAAAGCCCATCCCGTGCCATGGCAGGGACACCTTCCACTGCCCCAGGCTGCTCCAAGCCCCATCCAGCCTGGCCTTGGGCACTGCCAGGGATCCACGGGCAGCCACAGCTTCTCTGGGAACCTGTGCCAGGGCCTCACCACCCTCACAGGGAAGAATTTCTTCCCAAAATCCCGTCCGTGCCGCTGGCAGGGCTCTGAGCTCTCTCCTCTCCAGGTGAGCACCCTCAGCGCTCCCAGCCCGGCCCCAGATGGGGATATCGCACCCATCACACTTCTCTGCCGCGGTGATCCCCAGGGGCTGCACTTAGCGATGGCTCACCCACGGAAGAAGCGCTTTTTTGCACATTAATTTTGACTTTTTGGCTTTTAAGCCGAAAACGTCACGCAGCACAGAACCCCCTGCCACCCCGTCAATGGTCTCTCCCTCCTCTCCCCCCACCGCGTCCGCGCCGCTTGGTCTCACCTGTACAGGATGACGTCATACAGGCAGCGGCCCTGCACGTTCAGCGCGTGCGCGTAGAGCGCGGTGGGGGCGTCGCCCTCCGCTACCAGCTGCGTGACGTCATTGGTGAGCAGCCCCTGCAGGAACACGGCGGCCTCGGCGCCCCTCACGCCCAGCAGCGCCCGCCCCAGCGGGAAACAGGCGGCGGCCGCGCCCCGCTGGCCCTGGCACCACCGGCGCAGCCCGGGCGCCGTTAATGCCCTCACCAACATGGCGGCGCCGTCACAGAATCCCCTCACAGCCGCCGCCCGCTGCCTCCGTCGCCGCCATCTTGTGTGTGTCCGCTGGGAAGGCGACACCTGCTGGCGGGGCGGAACGCCGCGGGACCGCCCCCTTTCGGTAGCCACGCCCTCTACCCCTCTAGACCACGCCCCTCCACTGTAGCAAGATGGTCGCTGACCACGCCCATCTCCGCATAGCCACGCCCCTTCGTCTTGGCCACGCCCCCGGTGGCGAGCGGCGCTCCCCGCGATCCCGAAGGAGGAATTTGGGAACCACCCCCCGGCCTTCCCCGGGATCCCCGGCCATGGAGCGAGCAGGGAACAGCCCAGAGCGCTCCCACGTCCCGCGGTTCGGGGGCTGCCCAGCCCGGCTCTCCGTGTCCCGGCTGCTCCCGTTGAATTGGAGATTCAGCCAAGCTGGAAAGGACCTGTGAGTCCTGCGAGCATGGCACGGCCGGTCATTCCCTAAGCACCTCCGTTCCTGGCCCTGAAACCCACGGGCTGCTGCAAACAGAGAGGGCACAGCGCCATTCTCCCCCTCCAGGGACATTTTGGCTGTCAGGGTGGAAAAGAGACTCCAAAGGTTCTGGTTTGTTTCCAGCTGCCCTCCATCCTCTTTTAACACCCTTGGAGAAACTGCCAGCGGTACCGGATTGGGGTAAATTAAACGTTTATTATAACGGAGTAAATTATAATGTTTGGCAGCGTATAATGTTTGGCAATTACAAAATTTGGCAGTTTAGCAGGAATTTCTGCTAAGCAGTGCATGGGAATAAAACCATGGAATAATGGCGTGGCTTGAAAGGTCATTAAGTCCAGCACCCTGCAAGGAGCAGGGGCATGTCCAATCCATCAGGTTGCTCAGTGTAAACTGATCCTGACCATTTCCCGGGATGGGGAATCCCTCCCTGTGTTAAACCCCCCAGTTCGGCGCTGTTTCGCTCCCCCTGGAATGCTCAGTGGCGCTCTGGGCAGTGGTTCCTGCAGTGCCCGGCTAGCCCCGGCTCTGGTTCCGCTGGAATTCACCCCACAGTCCCAGGGACAGCCTTGAGTCACCGCTGCCATTCCCGATCCCCCTTTCCCAGTGGCTGCCGCTCGGTTTGAGCCCATCCTGCCCCTTCCCGCTGCCACCCGCAACTCTCCGGGCAGGGGGAGGGAGAGAGAAGGGGCAGGATGGGGAATCTGCCCCCCAGTGACCCCCCTAAAACCTCCAGGACAGGCACAGCAGCACAAACCAACCCTGAGTGAAGGGAGGTTCATTTTCCAGGAGCTGGAAACGCTCTGGGTGGATGCAGGGCTGGGCTCTCCCCTTGTGCCCATCAGTGATAAGCTTATCACACATCCCCAGGGTGTCCAGGCAGCGCTGAGATGTGTGGGGTGTTCACCCTGGAATCCATTTCGTGCCCATCAGTGATAAGCTTATCACACATCCCCAGGGTGTCCGGGTAGCGCTGAGACGTGTGGGGTGTTCGCCCTGGAATCCATTCTCCGCTGGAATTCCAGCTGGCCCTGCAGCTGGAGAAATAAAGATGTGGCAGAGGTGACCTTGGCACATGTTCTGTGCCTGCCCCTGGCACCAGCTGTGTGTCACAAAGGGGCTGGGGACACCTGCCTGGCTCTGGGGCAGCTGGAGCAGCAGAGAGCTGGTGCCCAGGCTGGTTCTTTTCTCTCCCTGGAAGTGGGAACGTGCCCAGAGCAGGAGCTGGGTTTGCTTTCTGAAGGAGAGAAAGGAAAGTCCCAAATCTGGAAGCACAGCTGGGCTGGAACTCCAGAGTCCAAGAAGCATCATGGACCCACATCTGGATCCAGCTTTGTGGGTTTTTTTTACCTGTTCCACATCCCTGCTTCACCCACCAAGCTGTGGGGATGGTCAGTGGCCACAGGTGTGCTGTATCAAACCCCACAGAGGTATTTGAAAGGGCAGCAAGGGGAATAAAAGTGAAAATGGAAAACAATCAGGCAGCCAGTTCGAGTCTTTATTTGTTTCACCACTTCCTACTGCTTCTATTCCCTCCCCTCTGGGTTTGCTTTTCTTTTCTCACGGAGTTATTCAGTTATTACGTGCAAAAATGCATGTTTGAGTCCAGAATTTATTGGCTAATCAAGTAATTTTGAAATATTTCAGTGTCAGAAACTACAACTCTGCCAGTTTGGTGCATTAAATCAGCCCAGGGGATTGTTTGGGACAATCCATGGTGTCACTGCAACCCCTGGAGCCCTGGGAAGGTTTGTGCCATCCCTCAGTGAGTGTGTGCCTGTCTTCACTGAAAATGGGGGGCCTGGAGCCTGGTGGGAGGGACAACACAATTCCCAGGGCTTCCATGACTTTAAGTTCTACTGGAAAGTGTGGAATTCTAGTGGGAATCCACTAGAATTCCATAACTAGTGGGAAACCTCTGGTGGCAGAGGGTTGGAACAAGGTGATCTTTAAGGTCTTTTCCAACCCAAACCATCCTGGGATTCTGGTGCTGTCCCTGATGGATCACCCCCACCAGGTTTGTCATTTCTAGGGGTGTTTGTGGAAGGAGAGCTGGTGGCACAGGGTGACAGGACACAAATTCCCACCTCTCAGCCAGTGAGGTGTGTCAGGGTGGCTCAGGATCCCCCCACAAAGGACAGAGGTTCCCCTCCTGTCCCTCAGCAGCCCCTGGGTGCTTGCTCAAGCTGCCAGCAGCCTCCTGCTCCATCAGATTTCCACTCTCTGCTCTCCTGAAACCCTGGGCAGCTCGAGGCTCCCACTTGTGAGGGCTCATCCTTGGCATTTAATTATCAATAACTCATCCTCACCAGGGATAACCTCTGCAGCCAGCCCTGCAGGGTGATAATAAACTCATTTCTGCCATAATAAACTCATTTTCTCCAGCTTTTTCTCGGGGTTTTAAGCACAAATCCTCATTCACAAACCCACGTGAGCTGCAATGATCCCTCCCAAACCCTGTGCATTAAATATTCTGGGAGGTCAGCCACGGGCAGCTGGGACACAGGGCTGTGGCAAACCATAGCAGCACTCCTGGGACAATATCCCACAGCCTTGGAGAGGAAAACAGGGATTGTGGCAGCCCGGGCAATGCAAAATCAGTGATGATAGGAGGGAATTGCAAGTACAACAGGCAGGAACAGAGCAAAGTGGAAGCTGAGCTTGGAGGGAGTGAGTTTGTGCATCAAAAAGGCTGCTCTGAAAGGAGGGTGGGCACCACTCTTTCCTCCCAAGGGACAAGTGACAGAGGAAACAGCCTCAAGTTGCACTGGAAGAGGTTTAGATTGGATATTAGGGAAAACTTCTTCATGGAAAATGTGCCCAGGCTTTGGAACAAGCTACCCAGGGAAGTGGTGGGAAATATTTAAAAACCTAAAAAAATGTGTGGATGTGGCACCTGGGGACAGGGTTTGGTGGTTGTGGTGCTGGGCTCATGGTTGGATTCAAACTTAGAGGACTTTTCCAGCCTTGAGGGCTCAGTGATTCCTGCTGCTGGGACTGAGGGGAAGGGACAGCTGCTGCTGCATTTCCCTGGTGTGGCTTTGTGATGGGTGTTTCACTCCAGGTGACAGTAAAAAGGAGTAAGTCATTGTTGTGCTCTACTAAAGTCTTTATTTTATATTAAGTCTTTTGAAGGTGAGACTTCTAAGGGGATTTATTGTTATTTTTGGTATGGTAGCAGTAGTGAAATATTAATAATTGAGTGGGATTTTGAGTAGGTAAGAGCCAAGCTTACATTTTGTCTGGGGCAGGGTAACCTTACAGAAATACCACAGTCCCATGGTAGAACTGTTACTATGAGCAAAAAGGCCTCTGCTCTCTGCTCCAGCTTTTTAGAGCAAGGCACTTAGTCTAAGTTTCTACCAAAAGCTAAAATCTACATTCTAAATCTGTATTTCTATTTCACTTTGTAGCTCCATATATCTCAGTTTCTCCATGGTTTCAGGTCAATCCCTGTGCCTAAATTTCCCTCTGGGCCTGTGCCCCTGAGGGGTTTGCATTCCAGCACCCTGGGAGGAGGGATTGGGAGCCAGGGGGATGCTGTGGCTGGAATTCTGGAATTCTGCTGCAGGAGGAGCAGCCATGGGTGCTGTGATCCCAGAGAGAACTGGAGAGCCACTGGCAATTTCACTCTGGATTTCCCAAGGAATGGGAGGGGTTGTGTGCATCATTCACATTCTCTAAAAAAATCCCTTCATCCAGGATTCTTCTCCTGGGAAGCTGAGAAGCCCCAGAGAAAAAGGAAAACAATTCTTATCTCATTTGCTTCTCCTGTGTTGTGCTCATGTGGAATGTGTTTGGAGATTGTTTTACCCACAGGTGATTGTTTCATTGCATTCTGCTGTGAGTTGTTTTGACTCTTTGGCCAATCAGGGCCAAGCTGTGCTGAGACTCAGAAATAGTCATGAGTTCTCATTATTATCATTTTAACATTCAGTAAGTGTCCTTTCTGTATTCTTCAGTATAGTATTAATATAATATAGTATTATAAAATAACAAATTAGCCTTCTGAGAACATGGAGTCAGATTCATCTCTTCCCTCATCCTGGGACCCTCACAAACACCACCCAGAATTTTTTCCCTGAGGACATTTGGGAGGGGCTGTGTGTGACCCGTGCCTGTGGTTTAACGGGAGCAGCAACACCGAGGTGCTTGGGAAGCCAGGCTCTCTCACAAAGTGCTCTCCCATCATCTGCTCAGCCTGAATCATCAGTTTCTCCCAAGTTTTCTTGCCTTTGAAAGCCCAGGCTTCCCTCAGCAGTGCCTGAGGGATCTGCAGTGATTCATCAGGGAGACAACGAGTCCCAAACAACGCCAAGGTCAAACGCTTCTTAAGGCAAAACTATTCTGGGATGATTTGTAGCCATAGCAGGGAAAACAGAGCTCTACATGGCTAAAGCAGGCAAATTATAGATGGAGAAGGATTTCTTCTCATCACTCAGAGCCCTGCTCAAGCAAGCACCACACGCTTCACGTACTGTAACAAAATGTAAGTTTTATTCCATGTTATTAGTAATGGATGTGGAATAGCCACAGTTGAGTTGGACTGATGTCCCTTTTGACCAGTGTTTCATATTCTAACTACAGCCCAGATGTAACATTTACACTGAAAAATACTTA